TTTCTTCCAAACATGAACAACTGCAAGGCTCTATTCCTGAGTCTGGACACTGGCAATTTCTCTGTTTCCCTTTGCAGTACCAAAGTTAAGATTTCAAAACACATACTCGTTTTCAAAGCTAGTAAATATCTTGTGCTCAACGGTGTAATTCTTAAATACTATGATTACTTGGGGGAAATTATGAGCCCCAGGAGGTGCATATAGTAGAGATTATGAGCAGAAACAAAGAATTTAAATAACACAAAAAAGGTCATTGTCTTCCTTTGTTCTCACCTGTATGTTTCAGTAGCTATGTGTCTACCACTCTCAGTGACAAATAAGCTGTAGGAATAGAAGTACACAGATTTCTTTCTGCCTATCTGCAGCTAAAGATTAGAGGAGATCAGTGTAGCCAAGCCTGTTGTCAGTTGCAAGTCAAATCATTAATCTAATACCAGGTATTCAAAGATACAGGAAAGAATGCTCAAAATCAGGTGTTTGCAGCAATCCCCATTTTCCTTGCTGTTTCCACAGAGCTGTTTTCTAAGCAGCTCCCTTTTCTTGTTTGTGAAGCATTATGATGATAGTTGTTCTCCAGCCTTTCTAAATTCTAAGTTTAACTTCTTATCTCTTTTTTTCTTAAAATTTTCCTGCTATGTTCATGCCCCTTAATTTCAAGGACCTAAGACATTTCTAGTTAGGGACTTTTCAGTACAAAGCCTATGTGTCCATCTTCTGCTCCCGTGTCTTAGAAGGGATGTGCATACTGCATACTTAGTCCATGCAGCTGATCTTCTGGGAAGCAGAGTTCTTAAGCACTTGGTGAGTGCAGGGACTATGGGTTTTATTTTCTGGAAGAGCAGCAGTAGCGAGTTGGAGCCTGGAAAGTGTGCTAAAGAGAGGGGAGCAGCAAACACTGCTGTAGTCCATTTGGACTGAGGGAGTCAAGAAGCAGTCAGTTAACCTGCAGGCATCTGCAGCTGAGCTACCTTGTGCACATTGAGCCTTAGTGTATCCATCCTCACCATCTTCTCATCTCTGTCATGGAAATAACCCAGCTGTATTGGACTTCAAACACAGTAGCCTGCTGAATGTCCAGCTCTGGCTGATGTACTGGCTTTTATGAGATAGAAGCATATTGCTGTAAACCAAGATGCATTCAAACTTTTGTGTTGCTACTGCCAGCTAGACAATACAATACCTATTGTAGAAAATGTTCTCAGGACAAAATGTTATTTCTAGGCAGCTGATACTCTTACGCAGTGTTTGTACAAATGAGTGTTTATTATATGCACTCAGTTAAAAGGCTGTAGCTGATGCGGTTTAGTCTAATTGCAAGTAATAGAACGTTTTATTCTTCTGCTCCCTCCCCCTCATAGGTACTGTAATAAAGTTTGAAATGACTCTTAGCTAATATGCTCTGCTGTGTTGGACTGCTTATGAAATACTAGCTTCTTGAGAAACATACCTAGCTGTGAGTAGCAGTTGGTGATTTATTTGAGCTATGTTACAGTTAAACTTTGCTTTCCTCCTTTCAGGTCTGGGGCTAGATTCGGATGAACTTCCCAGTCAGTTGAGTTTCTCCGACTGGCCCAAAATGAAGAAAAAGTTTGCATCCATATTTGCACAGAAGACACAAGCTGAGTGGTGCAATATATTTGATGGTACTGATGCCTGTGTGACTCCTGTTTTATCCTTTGATGATGCTGCCTCACATCAGCATAACAAACAAAGAAGGTCTTTTATCAGGAACGATCAGGAAGAGATAAGTCCCAGACCTGCTCCTCTTCTATCAAGGACGCCTGCTGTTCCATCGTGTAAAAGAGATCCTTTTATAGGAGAACACACGGAAGAGGTACTTCTGGAATATGGGTTCACTAAGCAAGAGATTGCTAAACTTTATTCTGATAAAGTAATAGAGTTCAGGAAACCAAAATCTAATTTGTAATCACTGACTATGTAGATCAGACAAATTTCAGGTTGATACAGGTTTTATGCATTAAAAATTGAATTACATAACGAAAATGTTTCTGTGATACTGCTTTGAAATAATTTAAAGGTTATTGAAGTTCTGAATTTAATTGAAAATAGTGGGAGCTGTGTGCACGTGTACCTGGGTGCTGTGGAGTCTAGGATGACACCAGGATTGTGTTCTGAAGATCTACACAGCTGGCTTAATAAGCAGCTGAAAATCCTCCAAATTCTCCATTAAATACTGTCTCCTGTGAAACATTTGTTTCTTTTAATTCTTAGTTACACTGTTGCATTGTAATATATGTTGTAATTACATGAAGGCACTACTTTTCATAAAATCGAGTTATATTCTTCCTAAACAAGTGGTTGTGGTGTTTATTCATTGATAAAAAGGGATCTTTTTTCCTCTTATTTTATCATGTTAGTTCATTTGCCATATCATGCCAAAACAGTCATTGAAATAATGCTGTTTTCTTATGTGCTGCTGCAGTTATTACCATAAAGTAATTCTATTTAATAGCCTGACTACATTTTCTTAATGCAGTCTCCTCATTATATTACATTTGGAATTCCAGTTTGCCTAGAAAATCACTTCAGAATTGAATTTGTTACTTTAAAATAGCAGCCAAGTATTAATCCTTTCCTCTCTTTTTGGATGAAATGGTAGGCAGCTTAGCTGCACAGGTTGTAAACAGTGGTTATTCCACAGTGGTTTTCATTTCCTTCAAAATTAATCCATCATTTGAAACAGTCTCCTTCTAGGCAAAAGAAAACACGCTTTTAAAAATAATTAGTTATATGGCCTTAATATAGTTTTCTTTAGTCTGACATGTCAGCAATTACAATATGAGGTACTGGGGTTTTAGTTCATTATGTCAAAGTGTTTACCTTGCCAAAGATTAGTTTGTTGCTGGCAAAGACTTTGAAAGATGACATAGACTTTAGCTCATTTTACATGTGCCATGCTGAAATTGTCAGTGTTGTTGCTATAAAAACACCTTTTACATTCTACTGCATGAACACTTGCATGAAAGCAAGATTTACCTAGTAGGTCCTGACAAATTAGATAAAGAATCGACAGAAGCATCTTAAGTTTCCAGCTAATTATCACACTAATGTCAATTACTGAATATTACATACCTTTACAGTAAGAGGTGACGATTTGCTTAGTCCCAGCTGCATCTGATCATGTTGGAGAGCAATAAACCTTATCAGATGTAATCTCCAGTGCACATAACTTTTGACCCCAAAATTGCTGAAGTCAATTAAAAAAGACTCATTTTAACTCCGGTGCAGGTTGGATCAGCTGCCTCACACAGGTGGCTAATCCAAAGGGTACAGTCTTGGTATGTCACTACAGATTTAAGGCCTTCTTTAGGTGAGAGTAAGTGATCCTGATATCTTTGTTCTTCAGGAACCAAGGAAATAATTGGTTGCACTAGGGATGGCACACAGCAGGTACACAAAAATAACAGCTGGTTGCTGTTTGACAGACATCTGTTATGCTTTTTATCTGTCACTAACACTCCAGGGCAGTAGGTAGGTTCACTTCCTTATCTACATGAAGTGCATTGAAATCCTTTCCTGACACATCTAGTTTTTTGCCATCCTGTTCAATCCACAGGAAAGCGGAACTCTGGTTGGTGTTCATGTTTGTGTAACGGAGAGATGAGGGTTCTGTATTCTTGGCATCACTGTCTTAACAGCAGCGAGGAATAGCTTTGTGGCAGGCTAATCCTGCGCCTTTCCCTTGTGATGTATGTTCCCATTATATGTGTGTTTCATGCTTAAACAGTAATTAGTTGTGGATAGCTGGGAGCTCTGCAGACGCCCAAGAGCTCAGATCTGCTCAAGTTAACACATCTCCCCGCCCCCTTCCTTGCATAACTTGTGATCACAGAGCCATGAAAGTATGTGAGTCCCTCCCCCAGCACAGGCTGATCCCACCCGGCATATGACCTGGCCTCCATGTCAGCCAGAGCGGGCAGCACTGGCTTGCCAGCGTGCTGCACATAGCCAGGGCAATCACCACAGAAGAGAGTTTCTATCCCCTTTCAAGGTGGCCAAGGCCGACATGGACAGCACCAAAGAAGAGGAGGCTCTGCTGCAGTCTGTGAGGAGGGCTGGAGCCTCAGTGCCAAGGAAGCGAGCCGTGGGAAGGCTGGTCATGCACAGCATGGTGATGTTCGGCCGGGAGTTCTGCTATGCCGTGGAGGCCGCCTTTGTCACGCCGGTGCTGCTCAGTGTAGGGCTGCCCAAGAACCTCTACAGCCTGGTGTGGCTCATCAGCCCTATCCTGGGCTTCATGCTGCAGCCCGTGGTAGGTTCAGCCAGTGATCACTGCACCTGTAGCTGGGGCAGGAGGCGACCTTACATTCTGGGTCTGGGCGTCATAATGCTGTTAGGCATGGCTTTGTACCTCAATGGGGACATGATGATCTCAGGTGAGTGAGGGGCATACACTGTGCTGACAGACAAAACTCATCCTAGCCTTTTGAATCAGAAAGAAAAGAGGGGTTCCTTTTTTCTCCTGTTAAAATTGGATACAGTGTTGCTCAGCTGCATTGAAGGAGCTGGGGAACACTAAAATCTTACTATATGTTGAATTCCAATACTGTGTGTTATGTACCCTGTACATAGTGTTCTGTAGTTTGTGCATGTGATTACAGTATGTTGCATGTTGGTGTGGTGGCCTGATCCGTTCGTATAAGTAGAGCACTGCTTAGGCCCAGAGAAGTTTTTATGAGCTTAAATCTACTTTGTTAAATTAAGCAATAAATAGCGTCTGTGTGACATAATACTAATTCAAACTGAGTAACTTTGAATCCCTATTTTAGATGGGTGACCATTTAAAATACGTATCTTTAATTACTGGAGCAGTGACTTGACTCAGAACTATGTTATGCTGGTGAATTACAGAAATTTGCAATTCCTTGGAAACCATGTTGGACCTGGAATGTGCAAAATTGAACAGGAATGACATCCCTAGATGCTGCTGTATTTCAGCTTGTGACGTAGTTCTCAAAGTCTTGATGGAAAGCTATTGCTGTCACTACGACTTGGCAGAGGGGGGAGGTGTATGTTTTTGTGAATTCATTTATTCTCTCTTCCTGATAATCACTGGTGTTGAATAAACTTTTATTCATCTGCCTGAAGAGTTACAGCCAATTCTTGATTATCTACAATGATGGAAGGGTGGGACAAATAGAATAAAGCAAAAAAGGACTGCATAATGCATGTATATAGTCTACCAGAGCATGCTATGGAGATGCAAAGGAGTAGATTAAGGCTAGTGATGCTCTTGATCGTGAAGCTTGGGGTACCCTGACCTTGTGCTGACTCAAAGTAGTAAGTCAACCCAGCACAGCTCAGCACTGCACTCAGTTATCCTACTTCTCCGATGGGATTCTGGTATCAACACAAAATCTCTTTTGCATAGCTAAGCATTGTTTAGATTTGGAGGTATCAGGAAAGATAAAATGTGTTTTTGCAGAACATGGTAGTGTTGCTGTCAGAATGAGGGTGTTTTTCTTTTCGTAGCTTTCATCGTTGAGAGACAAAAGCAGCAGACGTGGGCAATAATCATTACCATGCTGGGAGTAGTGCTTTTTGATTTTGCAGCTGATTTTATTGATGGCCCCATCAAAGCATATTTATTTGATGTCTGCTGTCATGAGGATAAAGAGAAAGGTCTGCATTACCACGCCCTCCTCACAGGTACTCAGATCCCTTCTTTTCTTCCCTCCTTCTGAAACGAGGGGAAGGTAATTGCATGGATTTTATCCTCCCTGTGTTTCTAATACTGAATGAACTGATCATCTGATCCCGCGCTTCAGTCACGAGTCCTTTGTTGCTGAGTTTTAACTGCTCCAGAGAACAGGACTTATGATTGCTGCTACAGGAACTCTGGTGCAGAAGGCTGCAGGCATAAACATTTACCGCAACATAACCATGGTTTAAGTAAGAGCAATTAGTTATTTTAAAAAGTGAATTAGCATTTATTCATCTTCTCCTGATTTTTGTCAAGTTTCTGGTGAAGTGAAAAGGGATGTAACTTGTTTCCTTGCCAGAGCACTGAAGAATAACATTTTTTACTTGGAATGTGACATAGAGCAAGAGCTGTGCAAACCAGAACAGTTGATTTCCATTCTTAAGCAGTGCTCCAGTTTGTGCCTTCCTGTATAGAAATAGGAATTCTGTGTAAAATTCAGAACTTCACAGCTTCCACAAAATAACTGGCTCAGAGCAGGGGTTTGTGTATGAAGTGAGAGCTTTGTTTGCCTTTATACGTGTTTGAAATGTTGCTGAGTTCCAGAGGGAAACCTCCTGCACTACGTCTGTGTTGAGAAGATGCGCAGGGAAGACATGTAAGGCTGTGTACCTGTAATGTGAATCAGAAGGCACTTTCAGCCATGTCTTGAAAGCAGTCACTGTAAAAGGAGTAGACAAAAAGCAGACTAGATGAGAAGTCATGCAATCTGTGTTGGTGCAGATTTTTGTCTATTGAGGCAAACCAAGAGCAGAGTCATGTAGATTCAGTGACAGTTACTGTAGCTGAGGAGGGAGGTGTAGTAGCTATTGACATTGGGCATTTAAAATAGGTGTGTCCAGGAACACAGATTATAATGGAACCTTAAAGCCACATGGAATTAAATCAGTATTATGCAGTGGAAACTGACAGATCAGATTTTTAACAATCACTTGTTTGGACAGAGAGGGGAGGCATTCTGTATGTACATTCTTCCCGTCAGCAGAACTCTGGTTGCAATTTTTACTTGGATGATCGGAATAAGGCTTGATTTCCACATTTGCAGCCCCAGATTTAGGTGATTCATTTGTATAATGAGCTGTGAAAAGGGATGTGGGACAAATAACATCAAAAAAGACTGGAACAGATTGCATTATTTGGTCCAGCACCTGTGCCCTTTACCTTATGGGTAATCACCTACCACGTTCTTGAAGTCTTCTGTCAACAGGGGTTCTGCAGCCCTTCCAAAGCAGTTGGTTCCAGCACTTCACTGGCCTGTTGTTAAACAGTTTCCTCTAAAATCTAATCTTAATAACCATTCCCTACAATTTACATTTATCATTCCTTGTTCTACCCCTACTAGACACAGACAGCAATCTTCCCATTTCTTTTCTAGCTTTCATTTTGGCTATTATTTTGTTTTCCTGATTTAGTCTTGTCTTTTTGTACTACACATTTTAAAGATCTTGATCTCCAATTTGCCTTCAGTTGAAAGTTTGAACATGAAACTCTGTAGCTTTGCAGTTATGAAACTCAGGACCACTGAGACGTGGAAGGAAGAGCCCACATATCCAACACGCAGCACTCAGACTGCATTCCAATGTCATCGTTACTTTTTGTGAAAACAGCATGCAAAGACAGCCTCAAACATCAAACATTAGCTCTGTGAAAACATTTGGTGTAGGTTTCCTTCAAAAAGTTATTGACAGCTTAATAGTTCTTCGTGAGAGCAAGCAAGGATACAGTCCCCTGTAAAACGCAGAACACAATGAAGAAGGGCCATAATTACACCCAAGAGGGAAAAAAGTACAGAAAGCCCAGAATTAAATCAAAATCCCAGGTTTTGTAGGTGAAGCAAATGTAGGTCCTGTTGCTTTTTGTTAGAATGGTTCTGCCATGCATTGTCTTCAGTTCTCCTAAACAGAATAGAAACACTTCCAGTAAGTCCTTCAAATGCTTCTATCCTGCTTAACTCCAGTGACCCACAGAGCCACCTGGTTAAAAGGGTGTCATGACACTACAGAGCTGCTTTCCCTTCCAGAGCTCTGTTCTGTGTGTAACAGTGTGTGCTTTCTTATGCTTCTGAAACTGTGTGAGCACAAAAAGAACAAAATAAAGAAATAGTAAAAACAACCAGACTGAGCGCTGGTTTTATTAGCCTCAAGACACAAGGCAGCATTCTCATTTCACCTTTTATCATAACTTTTCTGAGAAAATCATTAAACGGAATTACACACTTGTATTTTATTAGTTTTGTTTTCTACATGGTGAGGTACTTGGATTTTGATAACTACAAAACAATGCTTTTAGTTTTATTTCCTGTAAGAAATACTCACATGGGGAGACTATTTCTGTTTAGATTCACCTCTATAAAAAAAACATTTTACGAAGTCTGAACTATACTCTTGATATAATTTTAAAATGTTTGGGTTTTTCATGAACTCTTTTAGCATAAATTTCATAAACTCACTGTTTCAAAGAAAGAAAGTTTGAAGAGTCAAGAAAAGAGATGGAAGTCCATGTTGCTGTTTCTTAACGCATGTTTTTGAGAGTTCTATGCTCCAGAGCTGAGGAGGTTTCTCAAGAGATGTTTGATAATCACATAATATATGTGGTTAGCTCAGTATTCCTATTTCTTGTGATTAATATCTGAAGAGTGATTATGCATCCAGCTCTAGAGGAGGTCACATGTTGAGAGTACTCTGTACTATTTGTTTCTTTTATCAACTCCAGTGGACCTTTTTTCTCCTTTTTCCCCACCCTTGCAGGTTTGGGAGGAGCCCTGGGTTACCTGACGGGTGCTGTGGACTGGGGGCAGATTATGCTGGGATATTCCTTGACATCGGAATTCCAGGTGATTTTCTTCTTCGCAGCCTTGGTTTTGCTAATCTGCCTTGCTGTACATCTGCGCAGTATTCCAGAAGTTCCACTCAGATATGAAAATGAGGAGTCAAAGTTCTTGTTGGATGTGACTGAATCCTATAAATACAGCTTCATAGAGGAAGAAATCAAGAATGGTTACTTAAAATCAACATGTACTGAAATAAAGGCTGAAGCTAAACCAGGGAAATGTGCTGTTGCATCAGATATGGGGGTAAGTGCAGAGGTGGTTTTGTAAGCCATGTCATTGTTTCCCTGGAACCCTTTAATCTAACTAAAATTAATAAACTCTTTTTTCACACACACATAAAAATAACCCTCCATAGGATACAGAATCAGGATAAAGCCTGCTTTCTTTTTGTATACTGGTTTTTAAGTTATGAAGTATTTCCATCAAGAGGTACAAGGCAGGCTAGTCCTGATGCTTTGAACAACTGGTAGATATGAGGGAGAACCAGGTTCAGGTTTCTGCCCCGTTTCAGCACCACTCATGAATTTTGTCAAAAGGATCGACTTTGACCTTTAAATCTGATAGAATTAATGTCAAATTGTGGGCAAAGACTAAAGACCATTTATCTTTGGTATAAGTCTGTAGCTCCCACTGAAGTCCACATCCTTTCATATGTTGCACATGTGAAGTGTTTGTTCCTTGGTCTAGCAAATGGGTTTGCTGCTGCCTAACACATCATAGAGGATTTATTGACAGTAATTTGTCAGTATTGTGTTTAAAATTGCCACTTTTACAGCAATGCTACCTCACTTCAAGAGGTTTAGTTTTATTTTGAAGTTATGTGTCTTTGGCAGAACTTTTAGGTGAAAGAGAATAGCAAATACTTTCAGATCATCACTGTTCCTTGATTCTGCTGCATTTTTATGAGAGATGCTTCAACCTAATTCAGCTAGGAAAAGGTGAATCTACCCCAGAAGTACCTGGAGAGCACACTTCTAGAAAGGTTTTGTGAACAGATGATAATTTTTACTGTTTTGTTGATGACTTTTAGTGCTAGGAATCCTCACTGGCTCCTATAGGTGATGAAACAGTTCTGCTGTTTTAATTTTACTTCTGATCTCTTGGCCTCATGTATATCTATCCCTGTCAGGTCTTGATAAATTGGGTAAAAATGTATTGATACTGTGCAGATGGTTGTAAGTTAGAAACCTAAAGTCAAGTTTTAGCTACAAATGAAAGGTATTTATTACCTATTACTATTTATCATTTTTATTATAATAACACTTGCTTTTCCTAACTCAAATCAAAACATATCACCAGATGCAAAACAAAGGTAAAATAACAGATGAACACTGCCTGGTGAGAATGACAAAGACAGAGAGGGGCAGACAGCAAAACAACAGTCTGGGGGAGAACATGGCTAGCACACTGTGATGCTGTCACTGTTTCCCCACCATAGGCTATCTTGAGCATCCTTCACCAGCACTGCTCACTCCAAGCACCCTCCAAATTGTCAGAGGCTGAGTGCCATTGACTGCTTGGCCCATGTGGGCTCTAAAGAAAGGAAGGTAAATGATGGAAAGAGAGCAGATGCAGTGGAAGCAAGGGGGGAGCTTCTACCTTGGCAAGAACTAATTCCACTGAATCAGTAACATCTGGCACCCGAGGTAAAGCTCTGGTGTCCACTGTGGCAAGCTTGTGCCATTGCCCTCCTCTCTGTATTCTTAGCTGGGCAGACTGAGAGAGGCTCAAAGTGCTTTTATCTGTCTCATGTTTCTTTGATGTGCCTGGGCACATTCATATCCTAGACATTCACTGGCTTAATGGTCTGTCTCTTGTGGTACATGTTTTGTGAGTCCATTCATTACTATAATTGCTTCCTTGAAGAAATGGTTTGGCTTCCTGTTTTTCTGTGTCTCTTTTTGCTGCAGGCATCACGGCCCTGTATCTTCTAAATTAAGGGCTGTGCCTTTACATGCTAATGTAGCTATTAGCTGTAATTAGCATGATTATTAATGAGATTTGACCTGTTACAGTATGAACAGACATCCAAAGTGATTAGACTTTTATTCTTTAGCATGGTGCCAGATTACTCAGGTTCTGCTGCCATAACACCCAAGTTAGATTGATTCCTCTGTACCCCTTAGGAACCACCTTAGGCCTTGAGCTGTAGTGATTTTGGAGAGCAAATAAGTTGTCATTGTGAGCTTTTGCAGGATAAGGTACTTAAATGGAGCCAAACTTCAGCACGCCATTTAAATTAGTGTGGGCTTTGTGTGATGTTGTGTACTGAATACGTGCATTAAACTTTTCAGATTCCATTTCCACTCTCTAAAACACCTAAGTAGAAAGCAAGCATTTCACCTAGCTGTCAAATTACTGTTTGTAATTACAGCAGTATCCTTTCCTAGTTCCCTGTCCTTAACACTTTGATTGCAAAGGCTGTTTTACAGAACTGTGTGGAAAAGCTGAATGAATTAAATAATCCAAGTCAAATGAGAGCAATTACTTTGAAATAACATTAGTGAGTCAACATAGATTTTTCTTCTTTTTGTTGGTTTTTGGTAATGTAGAAGAATAGAAAGCTTACTCCTTTTAAAAGGGACAGGGATGCCAAGAGAAATTCCAAGGGATTTGGACAATATGCAGTCCAAGGTAAAAGTCAGCAACTTGAGTTTTGTCATTCCTGTGAGGATTAAAAACCTGCCACTGGAGCAAGTAATTTCCAACTTTGTATGTGCTGATTATTCATAGAGTAGCTCGCAGCATAACCTCGTTCAAAGGAGAGTAGAATTGTAAAAAGTAGAACGTTGATGGAAAAAATGAAAAAAAAAAGCTATTATCTTACAGCAAATTGAAGACAAAATTCATCTTAACAGTAAGGAACGTAACTTTTACAATTCTTTCACATTTCCCCTTACCATTTTTCCCCCAACACTTTTGCCTCCAAACATCACTAAAGGAAATTGGAAGTGTTCCATCATGCACAGATAATATCTTTTCTTTTCTCTGAAAGCAAAAGAGCCATGAGGAGCTTTACAGCAGTAAGAATTGTATGTCACAAATGCCTGACATCAAGCACAACTACAGTACTAAAAAAAATTGAAGTAATACAAGTGATGTAGTGAATGTGACTGGAAAAGATGCAGAGAGAGGGCTTTGGGCACAGGACTCAGACAAGGAGTAGGGAGATAAGGTTGGGCGTTAAAAGTGATGAGATACTTTGGTTTTCCCCATCAGTGGAATTCGTTATGTTTTGGTTTTGGAATTACTTATTTCTGCTGTGGGATGAGGTCTTCAGGTGCTGGAGCTCACGTTCTCTGGGAGCTACGATTTTGATTGGTGCTGCATCTCCTGTGATGATGTATCATAGCCTCTCCCTGCTTCATGGAGGGGAGGACAGTGCATAGTGGAAATCTCATCATATGTCAGAATAGTGAAGTTTTCCGGGCAATGGAATGAGAACGAGGTCTCAGAAATGGTGTATTCCATGACTCATACTTTTTAATTCTCAGGAATTATTTTGAGTTTCATTTTTTCTGTGGCATCTTTAAATTTTCGATGTAAAGTTGATGGTCTCTATATTTTTGTTTCTGGTTTCATTTTGGTTGGTTGGTTTTGGTTTGTTCTGGTTTTTTTGTTTGTTTTGGGGTTTTGGGGGGGGGGTTGTTGTTTTTTGTTTTTTTAAACTCCATTGATTTATTTTGGCAGAAAATTTTCACTTGTTTCTACAGGTAAATAATAATCCCACTCAGTATCCTACAGCAAGAAATGTTACATCTTTGCTGATATACCTCAGCTCTCTCAGAGTCTTTGTGAATTGTTCAGATGGCTTTACTAGGCAAGGGCTCTACAAATCAAATTTATATTGAAGGACTTTCAGCACCCAAGCAACCGTTCCTAGCAGAGAATAAAAATCATAGGAAGTTTACCAATGAAAACATGTCAAGGTCGTCTCCATTTGCTGTCAGCTATTTTATTAGCCTTCAGGGCAATAATACAGTATTATTGTTAAATACTTGCTTTCAGGATCAAAGGCGGATGACCCTTAAATCACTCTTGAAGACACTTTTAAACATGCCATCCCACTATCGGTGTCTGTGTGTGAGCCACCTCTTTGGATGGATGGCTTTCCTGTCCAACATGCTCTTCTTCACGGATTTCATGGGACAGGTAAAAGTGTAAAATTCTCTCACTTTTCATTCTTCTTAGCATCTTCTCCTCCACCAGGAAGAAATGAGACAGTACTATAATCCTGGGGAAGTGGCATTGGTGGCAGATCCAGTTGCATCTGGGTGGGTCAACAGGAGTTTTGTGAAACAGCTAATTGATCTCAGACGCCCCATTCTGAACCAGTCTGTTGGATCTTTGAGGAAGACCTTCTGGCATTTGTAAAGCTATTTGTGTTTATTTAACTGTTCCAAACGAGCTGTTCCAAACACATCCATTCTCTGCTTTGGCTCTGGAGCTGTTCTGGGGTGGGCAGGTTTCCTAACTAAAGTACTGCTGGTGTTGCTCTCGTGTAGCCCGCCTTGCCCTGCTGTGGGCACTGTGGGCACAATGTGTGTACTTGCACTGCAGCCTCCGCAGCCTCAGGCTCTGATTATAGCTCCTTGTACACAGTCAGCTGCTGCTTTGTAGCTGAAACCTCTTGTCTCCTTCAATTTGGCTGTCCCTGGCACATCTCCTTAAACCTTTCCGTGAGCCCCCTCTGCCAGCAATTATTTGCCTTCATGATACCCAGTGGTCCCTTTTCTGCATCATTCCCAGGCAGTAAGACTGTATGTCCCTGCCTGTGATTCTAGCCTATATGATCCTGTCTGCCTTCTTTCTTGCAGGGCACAAATATGTTCCTGGCACAGATCTCATTGCCGCTTTACACGCAGTATTCCCATTTCATTGCCTTTTTCTTGTCTCTGTTGACAAGAGGAAGGCTTGTTGGTTTTTGTTTTGTTTTGTGTTTTCCTGCAGTGCATATGAACAAGTGAAAGAAAAAGTTTTGCTAGCCTAGATAAGGAACTGAATGAGACAATTACTGTGTAGAAAAATGAGTGTGTTAGGGTAAGCCTAAAAGAGAAAACAAAAAGCCCAACTGTAGATCAGTGAGGGACAGGATAAGGCAATGTTGTGATACCTAGCAACAACTAAAACATTAGTATGTTACCAGCATTGTTCGAGACTAAAGCTGAAACAGAGCACTGCACCAGCTACTAAGAAGGAGAAAAATAACTGTTACAGCTGAATCCAGGACAGGCAAGAAGGCACAGCTGGAGAGAGAAGAGTGGGAAGTGCAACTAAAGAAATGAACCAAAGAAATGAAGCCAAAGAAAAAGTGCAAACAAATCAGTGTAGAATAGACAGTCCAGGAAAAGGCAAAGAATAAGAAACAAAGAGAAGCCTGGAATGTGGCAATCTGGGAGAAATCAGTGTGAAACCAGCAGATCTGTGAAGGGATGGTTAAGGCATTGCTTAATTGATTTCTTGGGTGCTAACTATCCCACCTAACAGGGATGAGGCCCTGTGTTGGCCACCCTGTTCCCTTAAGAAGAAGGTATTATATGCATGCATTCATCCTTGCCTTCTGTGATCTTTGTGGTCTCTTTCAGGTTGTATACCACGGTAGTCCTTACGCTCCTCATAACTCCACGCTTTACCTTTCCTACAGAAAAGGAGTAGAGATGGGATGTTGGGGGCTGTGCATCAATGCAATTTCTTCATCAGCCTATTCTTGTAAGTACCTGGCAATGCACTCCAACACTGTGTTTTGAAATAATTTTTAACTGTGTGCTGTTTGCCATTGTTTGAAAAAAATAATGTGATGTCAAATTAACTGTTTTATTCCCACATTAAAACTTTGAGAAGCATTATTAGACACTTGTATGGTGGTTCATGACATTGTGATGAGGGGTCACTTTGGGAAAAGGCATTGTTCTGCATGTTCAGACCTTGAATACTGAAAATCAATTGGAAGTTAAATGCCAGAATAGAATGGATGCTGTGAGCATTATTCTGAGATGCTCTGGCACCTAGTAGTGCTGTAGCTGTAGGTTCTTGAAGGTCCTTTTGGCCTCTCCCCATCTGCCTTCCTCATAAAAAATAAGTCTTTCAGAACAGAGTAGAAGTTCTTGCCAGAAGCATGAACCTTGGTCTTCGAAATTATGTGTAAACATGCTAGCACAGTTCCACAGATGGATTTCACTATAGCTCTTACGAGGGATTAAACTTGCGATCCGAGAACTCAATTGAGTAGCTTTGAGAGGGCTGAACTGCATATTTGAAAGAGGCTTGAGGGAAAGCTTTTTACCTTTGGAGCCTAACTACAGGCATTTCTGTAGCATCTTTCTCAGGTCAGACAGAGTCTGATGCCAAATGTGCACATTATAATCAAACAGCGGAAATGTCTGAGGTTGTCAATGCATGCAGTTATTCCAGAATGGTTGTTAACTACTTCTCTGGAGTTGGCTATGTCAGAATAAGACTATCCCCAGCGTGAGCAAATATTCTTTGGCAAGTTTATACCTACAGTAATTTGAGGCAATTTCCAGAATGAGTAAGATTATCTCCTTCATTGCATTTTACAAAATAAAACCCCCTAAAGGAATTTCCTGATTAAATGTGACCTGTTTTGTTTTATCAGCCTTTTCACTTTCTTTTCACAGACATACAGAAAATTCTCCTGCCACACCTAGGATTAAAAGGGCTTTATTTTATTGGATACCTACTTTTTGGATTGGGTACTGGATTAATTGGATTGTTTCCCAATGTCTATTCCACTCTGGCTCTATGTTCCCTCTTTGGCATCATGTCCAGCACTCTGTATACAGTGCCATTCCACCTCATTGCAGAGTATCACAGGGAAGAAGAGGTGAGTTCAATGTCTAAGGAAGGATAAGTTTACATGCGTCTGGGTCTGTTTAGTCTATTTTGGGAGAAAACAGAATAGAACTGGTGAGTAACGTTTGATTTTAATTTCAAACTATTTATAACGACATATATTATGAATGGAAAGTTTCTGACAGAGAGAAGTAAAGCCCCAGCTCCAAACTCTCTAAACAGTCTTGCAGGGAGACAGATCATTATGCATCCTCAGAACTGAAACAAAGCCAATAGCATGAGTTCAGGCAGTAAGCCGATAACAAGGCTTCACTTGTGCTGCCTTCAAGTGGCCCTCCTTCCATCTCTATCAGTTGAGGAGGTGACTTCTGAGTTCCTAAGGTTAATAACTACACTGCAAAGCCTGGAAGCATTTTTAGTTAACTGTAAAGTGTTACAAAAGCTGTTAGCTAATAAAGATGTGAAATTCAAGTACAGTTTTATATAGTTCAGTATTAAATTATATACCATGTTTTTATTATCTCTCTAAATGTCAGGGATTGATTTTTGGTCCTCTGCAGCATGAAATACTGTTTCCAAGGAAAGTCTGGAAAATCTTGCATTCCTTATATTATGTTTCTGGGCACAGCAGGATCTTCACATCTTGTAAAGCTCTTTAATGGAAAAGTTCTCTTAAGTCTCTTAAGTTAGTGAGAAAGCTGGTTAAGGAGAGCTGGGAGGACTTAGGAAAAGTTCTCATTCTGTCTGGGGACATTCAACAAAATTAATAAAGAAAGTGTTGAACTGTTGAAAAACAACATATTAACAGCTGAGACCAGCTCAGGGCTAGATCAAGTCCTTGAGAACATGCTGCTGACATTCCAACTCCCGTTCCATGCTGCTGCTCTCTAGTACCCAAGTTCAGTTTTGTCTACTGGATTTGGAGGAGACTGTCTTCAGTACTTTCGAGCTTTTATGTGGTAACAGCTAAAAGGCAAAGTAAAAGGTGTCATGAAAAGCAAAAAAAGCATCTTAATGGTCAAGATTGTTTGGATACAAGAAAACATAATGAACTAAGCTTTTTGGTCTGCTGTGTATATCATAGCAGATATAATCAGTAATTAATAATGGTCTTTGATGGTGTAGAAGAGTCCTAGTCTGGATATTAATGTTCAGATTAATATCCCCCCAGCAAAAAGATTACATTTAAATTTTACTACTAAACTTCTTTATGTGCTTTGGGCTGTAACTTCAGAGCACAGTACCCCGTTACAATGAATCATGCATTGTATGTGCCTGGGACATGGTATGACTCATCTTAGCATTGCTTTCAAGCTCTGCTACAACCATGAGAGCTGGAGCTAAATTGTACACGATAGGGTGTCCTGTACTGTGAAATGTCAGTTTTCCAGAGCTCAAGTAGACTTGAACTTGAAGAAAATTGCAAATTTTAATTCCTTGAGAGAAGGGATAGAGGGAAAATTGCAGATGGGAGAAATGGGAAAATCTGGGGAGAGCTTGGAAAACTCATTAGCACCTGTACTATCTCTGAATTCCGTATCCTCGGTGGGACAAGTATTAAAAACAGAAGGAAAACAGACAGCTATTGACTTGTCTTGCTGCACCTCAGGGTTGTGACTGTGCATTCGCTGAGAGCTGCAAGTTGTCGGCACCATCTCATTTCTCTGGGTTTTGTTTTGTGCTTATTTGCAGAGCCTGAAGCTGCAGGACGGGGAACAAGCTGGACAGCATGGGCGAGGGAAGGGCATTGACTGTGCTGCTCTCACCTCCATGGTCCAGCTGGCGCAGATCATCCTTGGTGTGTGCCTGGGGCTCTTGGTCAGTGTCGCTGGCAGCACGGTCACTGTGATTTCGGCATCTACAGTGGCACTGATCGGCTGCTGCTTTGTTGCTTTTTGTGTACACTATGTGGAGTAGGACCGCATGAAGTGATTGGAAGGAAGCTCCCCAGGGCAGCGTTTTCTTTCTGGGCCAGTAGCATTGGTGCTGTTGCTGTGCTGATACTGCTGCACATCCTCCTCACTTACCTCCTTGGAGCGACTGCAATTCCAGAGCTTTACTAAAAGGAGACTGGATAAAATTGGTTGTTTATTGCCTCAGATTTAAATCTTACCTATCTTGACTGCTTTGTTACTTCATTCCTGCTGACCTCAGTGTATGAACATACTATTACACATGACACTGTGTGCCCATGGTAACTCAATGTCCTATATGAGGAGTCATCACAAAACTCCTGTCCTGGGTTCGGGACAACTCCTCATTACAAATTTGTGGAAATTAATAAAGAAAGTATGTCATAAACTTAAAAAGGAGTAGAAATGGGCAGCTAGGAAGAAAGTTTTATTTATCTTGTTTTTCAAGTATCTTAAGTTTGGGGATATTCCTTCTGGTAGTCAAAAGCTGCAGGAGGATCAAACAGAGGCCATGTAGGATGCAATTGCATTATGATTAGTAGTAATGTTAGTAGTAAAGATCAGTTAATTCCCAGCTACTGTCAGAAGCAGGTTTGAGTGTTCAAGATGACTGGAATATAAAAAGATTGAAGCCAGTTGTTTAAAAGCATAACTGTAAAGTAATTATTTTATGCTGGATCCTGCTGCTTCTACATAAATGAAATAAAAGTACTGATGGAGCTTGTCACGAATGTCTGCTCAAGGCTGGTCTGCAAATCCACGTGTAGGCACCTAAACAATCCATCTATGGGAAACAGGTGCTATTTCTTCCTTCTCAAAAAGCTGGCCTCTTGACTTTGATACTGTAATTGAAAAAATAAACTTGGCCAAAATAAGAATTTTATGAATGGTTGTAAGCCACATAAATCTTGACATTGGATATGACAGTATTTGCTTTAAAGTAGCCCCTCTTTTCTATTTTCCATCACACATCTAGCTTTGAGTGAAATGACATTTGCTCTTTACAGAATATTGTAAATAAATTCAGTTCTGCAAAGCATTATCAGACATTACTGTACAGTAGATACTTAAGTCCAGTTATTTGTATTTAATTGCATATGAAGCTTCATTCTTAGTTTTATAGTTTTGCCAGAGGTTTGAAAGCTCTGTGTTCGTGAAGGTGATATGCTGTTGTATTCATTTGCTATATTATATGCTAAGCCACATGAAGCCATCTGCTAATGCAATATTGTTAATGAATGGTGATGCAGAAAGACTGTTGCCAGGTATGATGTTTGTTTGGGTTTTTCAAATGTTGCACATGTATAATCAACACTGTTCAGTCAAATGCACTGTTGAGCTGATCGGCTCTTAGAAGCCCTGACAACACCACAAATAAATGGTCAGATCTGAGCATGAAGTGGCTCTGCAGAGAGGCCCCAACTTCATCCTTTTTCTGTGTTTTCAAGAGCAGAGCGAGTCATTTATTCTAAGGAGGAAAAAAATATATCCCCCCTAGATAAACACTCTATTAATTATAACAAGCTTATGGAAGCTCCAGATACCTTTTGCTGCTGCTGATTGTGTCTCCACTGTCAGTGCAGGCAAACCTCATAATTCTTCACAGCTCCTTTAGCCTGCCTTATGAAGAAGCTACATTTTATGGTTTCTTTAATTTTATGGCCCTTCATGAGCCCATCTAATGTCACACCCATAGAAGAAAAAAGCTTGAAAGAGGCTGAGCCTCTGCACTGTGCTTGAAATACGTTGTAGGTGCTGATGTGGCTGGAGCACAACTACGACAAACAGAAGAAGGTCAGAAAAGTCTTCTGAATTCACTTCATGCCATTGTTAACTCATGAACTTCCATTAACTCAGTATCTCCTGGGAGGAGGAATTTTTAAGGGAAGCGAAAGGCTTTTGCGGAGCCATAAAAGTAGAGAAAGGAGGAGTTCATCTTGTTTTATAGGACTGCAGGATTAGAAGCACCTATGTTTAAATAAAACTTGTTTAATTTCAGTTTATGCCTATTGCCTCTTTTCCATTCCCTGGACAATACCAAGAAGGTCCTGGTTCCCTCTTCTTTAACCCCCACCCCCATCAGCTATATACACATATTGATAAGATCCTCCTGAGCCTTCTTATCTGCATGCTGAACAAACCCAGCACTGTCAGTTTATCCTTGCACAGCAGATGCTCCAAGCCCTCCACTGTGTAAATCCATGCCACAGGTGCTGAGGTCGTAAAGCTCCAACTGCAGTGTGAGGCTGGGAAAAGAACTTTGCAATGTTTATCTGTGTCTTTGTCAATATTTTCTTTGAGGTTTAACACCATCAGAACATTAATATTTGAATGGTCAGTGATATCTCTGCTTTCTCTGCTATCTTACACAGAGAAAGCTGGCATTTATTCAGGCCCACTGGTGTAAGTGGGAGATATGCAGTGATGACATTTGGTATTTCTCAAGTGTAGAGGGATTGCTTCATGGAGGAAAAGGGTGGAAGTATCTGCTGTAAAATGTCTTCAATTATTTTTGTCATGCTAAAGCTATAAAAAAATTATCTATAAACCAAAACTTTCCCCTCTAAGTTTCCAGTATTTATTTCTCATTCCCTAGCTGTTCTTTCTTTATTTATTCAAACAGCAAATGTTCGGGGCCACTTGACCAAGACTAAACTGTGAAAAGCACCTTGTAATTCTGCTGCCTTCTATGCTGTATTCAGTTTCATACGTTGTTCCTTTAGGTATGTGAGGCGTGTTAAGCAGTTGTATCTCCCAAAGTTTCTTCTTGGAAATTCACTTCTTACCTTCCCATATACTAGTATTTTAGCTGTGTGTTAAAGATAATGACTTCACATCATGCAGAGACCCCAAACCAGAGGGTATTGCCTAGTGTTGCTCCAGGTTAAGTGCTCGCAGTAGGGGGAAAACAAAATTCAGTGCTCTCCACTCTGGGTTGCAGTGTACACTGATATAAACAGGCCCTGCCTGCTATTTTTAAGGAGACAGATCTGTGACCTTTTCTAAAAAAAGAACCTCTTTTTGAAAGGGTAATTGTCAAAGGCTATGTCTGCCGCACGGAGGAGACGGAATGCGGCTGCTGTCGTTCTAAAAATCAAGTACTTTCCTCCCTGAAGTCTGGGTGCTTGGTTGCCCCCCAGTGCTCAATGACATTATAGCATTTCTCCAGAGTGTAGGACCTGCCTTCCCTTGCAGGGCTTTCTAACCTCAGTCTCTCTGTTTCATCTCACTCTGAAGTTTCCTTGCAGTGATGCCCATCTGCAGTTCATTTCTCTTTTTTGTGCGTAGACAATAAAGGAAATTTCTTCTTACTGGCTGTAAGCCAGCTGCATAATGCCAGTGAAGACACTGACACGTGGACACTTAAGTGCCCACCGAAGACATGATTAGCATCAAACACATGGTGGAACCTGACCTTTGAAACCTTCAGTGCTAATGCCAAGCATCAATCCTGTAGTGCTGCCATCCTCAATTTGTTTAGAAGATAAATTTTTGTTGTATTGGCTCCCAATAGATAAGGTGCACTGGGAGGCAGGGACAGTGGTAGCAGCACAGAGGACAATAGGCAGCATCAGGGTCTTTGACACCTCTGCTTTCAGGGACCCCTGAAAGCAGTCATTAGCTGCTGAGGTGAGGAGGAGAGAGGAAAATAGCAGAACTGAGTGGTCTAACGAATGACATGAGGTAAAGTTCTGGCAAAGGTGTCTTTTGTTAAAGGCTGGGATCACCACCCTGGGGTTGTATGGCTGGCAGATCCTAATATAACTCAAATGTATCTGGTTTTTGGGGTGTTATATATGTATTTTATATATATATATATGTATAAAAGTATATGCCATCTTGCAATACATTTTGTGAGTTATCAGATTTCAGCGATTTTGAGGGCTGAAGCACTTCTTCCCATGATACATGATGAAATACCAACATAGCACTCAATTCCTATAAGAAATTTTAAGAAATATATCCCAAATATTTTTAATTGCCTTAATATTGCAAAGTATGGCAATGTTGGAACACTGGTTGCCTCTGAGAGAGATGGCACCTTATCAAAAGCTAGTGATATTTTCTGAACAGGATTTTGGGGTTTGGAATATTTTATTTGGAACAACTTTATATCAAGTGTGTTCATAATTCAAGTTATCAGTCTGTATCTCCAAAAATGTAATCCCAACTGTAAAATTCAAATAAGAGTCTTCGTTATTTATGATCAGCTGTATAGACTGAGCAGTTATGTAATAGACTGTTGTAGGACCCCTCTTACCTTCAGTTCAGGAGCTCACAGGTAGCTCTCTACCTCTATATGCATCATTGGATTTGCCTATGAGTAAGGGACTGGAATTCAGCAGGAAATATCTTTTGATGGGCAAAAGGAAGAGTGTATTTCCTCTGAGTCCCCTCAGCTCTTTCAGCAGAAACAAGAAGCAGTCAAAACATATTTTCTTTAAATCTGTTTATGACCATAAATATACAAGAAATTATTTGAAATACACAGCAGGATATGATTTGAGGGCATAAAATATTTAGAGGTTATTTTCAGAATAAATGACAAACAAGATAGATGTTCTAATTCTACTCCATAAAAACAACAAGGTGCTTGGTGACAGCCAGCATGGCTTCACTAAGGGGAAATACTGCCTGACCGACTTGGTGGCCTTCTATGATGGGGCTACGGAACTGATGGACAGGGATAGAGCAGTTGATGTCATCTACCTGCACTTGTGCAAAGCATCTGACACTGTCCCTCAAGACATCCTTGTCTCTAAATTGAAGAGACATTAATTTGATAGGTGGACCACTCAGTGGATAAAGAACTGGCTGGATGGACGCATGCAAAAAGTTGTGATCAATGGCTCAGTGTCCAGCTGGAGACCAGTAACGAGTGGTGTCACTCAGGGATCAGTGTTGGGACCGGTCTTGTTCAACATCTTTGTCTGTGACATGGACAGTGGAATTGAGTGCGCCCTCAGCAAGTTTGCCGATGACACCAAGCTGTGTGGTTCGGTTGATCCGCTGGAGGGAAGAAATGCCGTCCAGAGGGACCCTGACACGCTTGTGAGGTGGGCTGATGCCAACCTCATGAAGTTTAACCATGCCAAGTGCAAGGTCCTACACCTGGGTCGGAGCAATCCCAGACACAGCTACAGGTTGGGCAGAGAAGAGATTCAGAGCAGCCCTGCGGAGAAGGACTTACTGTGTTGGTTGATGAGAAACTGAACATGGGCCAGCTTCAGTGTGCACTCTCAGCCCAGAAAGCCAACCATATCCTGGGCTGCATCAAAAGGAGTGTGACCAGCAGTATGATTCTATGATTCTATGATTCTATGCTGCCCCTCTACTCTGCTCTAATGAGACCTCATTTGGAGTATTGTGAGCAGTTCTGGTGTCCTCAACATAAAAAGGACATGGAACTGTTGGAACAAGTCCAGAGGAGGGCCATGAGGATGATCAGGGGACTGGAGCACCTCCTGTATGAAGATAGGCTGAGAAAGTTGGGGCTGTTCAGCCTGGAGAAGAGAAGGCTGCGGGGAGACCCCATAGCAGCCTTTCAATACAAACCCATCTCTGTCAGCCTCTTCTCACACAGCAGATGCTCCAAGCCCTCCACCATACTGGAGCTTCTAAACTGAGTTCACCTGCCTCTTGTACTGGGGAACCCAGAACTGGACACAGCATCCCAAGCGTGGTCTCATCAGGCTGAGCAGAGGGAAAGGATCACTTGATCTGCTGGCAGTGCTCTGCTTAATGTGGCCAGGATGCTGCTGCTGGCCTTTGCTCCAAGGGCACATTGGTGGCTCATGTTAAACCTGTCCACCAGGATCACCAGGTCCTTTTCTGCAAAGCTGCTGAGCAGTCGACTAGGCCACTCAGCCTCTATTGGTGTTGGGATTATCCACCCTCAGGTGCAGGAATTCGTATTTCCCTTTGTTCATCCTTCTGGGGTTCCTGTCAGCCCATTACTGATCCTCTGAATAATGGCACAGCCCTCTGCTGTATCAGTCACTCCTCCTTTTGCAGACATGCTGAGGATGCACTCTGTCCCCTCATCCAGTTTCCTAATGAAGATGTTGGGCAGGACAGGCCACACTACTGATCTCTGGGACTCACTGCTGGTCACTGCCCTTTAGCTGGACTTTGTGCTGCTAATCATGACTCTTTAATCCTGATGGTTGTCATTTTCA